TGATAGCTTTCTTTTTCTTGTATTCATTAGAGCATGTTAAACTGGTTTAAGAAATGCTCCATTTTTCTGGTCATAGTGGTCATGTTCTCAGAAAATGCTACTCAAAAATCACGCACATGTTGGAAGATGACAAACTCACATCATTCTTTCCCACTTTATGCTACATGTAGCTGGAGTCTGCTTTTTTTCTGCGAAGTCCCTGTTCTCATCTTGTGCTATCTACTGTGCCAAAACTCACATAGTAAGAAGGAAATTTCTTTCTTCCCCCCCCCCCCCCCCAAAAATTTTACTATGGTCTGTAACAAATTACAACTTCTAGTGCATTAACAAAGCGAACACCGAGAAATGTCAGGGAGAGACACTGTTAATAAGAGGGTACGCGTGTGATCAATTGTGTATCTCTTCTTTTTAAGCTGCAACCCGTTAGTGTTATATTTAATTATGGTTTGATAACAGAAGATAACCTTATCTGTAAGAGCCTTGCAATTAAACTTCTGTTAAGTATTTTTTCACCTCCAGTCATTGCCTGAAAAAAAGTCTGAATCTGAAGAAGTCACCTTTAATATATTTCCAGAAGGTTATTTTTCAATATAGTCTGATCCAGGCCCATCATGCCAAGTAACAGCAAAGTGGAGATGTGGAGGAAAATTAAAATTGACTTGGCTCTGACTTTTCAGTGAGCGATCCATTAATAACAAGAAGTGACACTGTGACTCCTTTAAAAATGATAAAAGATTGTCACAAGCAATCACCTAAAAGACCATTTGGGTTGGTCCTTGCTGAACTGGACAAGAAGGACGCGGAAAAGTTGCTCGAGAAAAACATTTGGCCAAAAAGGTGGATGAGTCCTCACTGGAGAACTCCTTTCCTGCAGCCTCAGATCCATGATGCAGCGGTTTTGATGATGTCAGTAATGTGCTGAGGCAGTGACACAAATAATTCTGAAATTAATCATAAAACACCTCAGCATCAGGGCAGTTTAACAATGAGAAGAACTGCATGTAAACAAAGTACTCATGAAACACACCTGTAAAACTGGAGACCCTTTTCCACAGTAGACTTATACCACCAGTGTCCCATCCCACTCCTCCCAACATGGGAACTGTTCTCCTTTTCTCAGTGCTTCCACAGACTATGAGGACCTTCATCAAGTAAACAGCACAAAGTGTTTTCTCCTAGATCATGATGCAACACAGCAGGATTGCTAAATCGTGACAGAGAACATCATCAAAAACATCCCAACTTTTTGGAATACAAATCTGAGTGGCAACAGCAGCCACCCTGCTCTAGAATCCCACTATAAGATATGGACAGAATAAAAATAACTTCTTTTGATCCTCCCTGGAATATAAATACAGCACTGAGCCTGTATTGCAGCAGGTCCAATACAATACATTTTCATTCCAGGATTACACAGGAAACTCCCTGGATCCTGCTATAAGAACCCAAATAATTAATTTGGAAATCCTCTAATATATGGGCAAAACATAAGACCTATATTAAAAAATAGGGAAGTAGCATCCTTTAAAATAAAGAAACAAGGAATAGTTCGCCTTATTCTATGTGAAGAGAATATATACATTATAGGTATTTGCCAAATACAGCATAACACTAGAATTCTTCAGTGAAAGACGAAGAGCTTGAAAAAATAAAGAAAATCAAAGGAAACAGTGGAAAACCGAGAAGCCCGATTCAAGCTGCTTCAAGAAGAAATGATACTAAATATAAGACCATGAACACACCCATCTTGCTTCTCAGCAAAGAGTCTAGGGAAGCACAATTTCAAGTGTTCTACTATGTTAAAAGGTTGGGTGTTTCAAATCACACACAAAGAACACATAAACGCCTAGCATTGACACAGAGGGGGAACACGCTGCAGACAAAGGCTACCTAGCAGATGGAAGCAGAGAATAAACAATTAACCAGGAGAGCAGCAACCCGTCCCCATGGCCGAGCCGGGGGGTCGCGGGTCAGGGACAGCCCAGGGACAGGAGGAAAGAGAAAAACACGGAGCACAGCCACGGGGCGAAGGCAGAGCTGCTCAGGAGCGCTCCTTGCACACCCTGGGGTCCGAGCGGGGCCCAGCACAACCGGCGCCCCCTCCCTCCCCGCGGCCCACCCGCCCCTCAGGCCCTGGCCCCGCGCACTCGCCTCGTCCGCGCTCAGCTCCTCCATCGCCTTCCTCTTAATGGTGTCCGGAGGAGGGGCGCGTTCCTCCGCCCCGCCGCGGGGCCGCTCCGAGGCAGCGCTCTCCTGCCGCCGCTGCCCCCCGGGCCGCCTCACAAGGGCATCTCCGGGGCGACCACGCCGCGCCTCGCCCGCCGGCAGCACCGCCGCCCCCGGCCCGCTCCCCGCTGCCGCCGCGGCCGAGGGGAAGCCGCCCTCCCGGTGCCCCCGCGCCCCTCAGAGCTCCCGGCCCCGGCCCCCGCCCGCCCGCGGCCGCTGCCCCGCGCAGAGATTATTCATCAAAACAACAGGGCGGCGGCGGCCATCTTGGGGATCACGTGACCCCGCGGGGGGCCGGGCACGCCGGGGCCGCGCGCGCGCCGCGCCGGCCAATGGCAGCGGCCCGAGGGGCGGGAGGGGCGGGGCCCGGGCAAGGCGGGCCCGGGGGGCGCGTGAGGGGATCGTGAGGGGCCCGTGAGGGATCGTCCCGGGGATCGTGAGGGATCGCCCCGGGGATCGTGAGGGACCCCGGGGATCGTGAGGGATCCCGGGGTTCGTGAGGGGGCAGCCGCCGCTCAAGGACGCCGCGATCCCAGGGAGGGTCAAGCTGCTGAAGCCTTCCCTCTCTAATGGGCCCATAAATATTAATCCCTTCTCAGTGACGAGTGATTGAGAATTCACGGGATCTAAATCTAATTATTGCGAGCTGAGTAACATACCAAGGAAAAAATAAGATACCAAGACCACACTGGGCGCTTGGTCTCGGCCTTTTCTAAGTGTAGTTTGAACATGAAGGTTTTTTTTCCTATTACAAACTTTTCTGCGCCTAATTCCCCTCATTATGCCACAAAATACTATCCTGGAAGATATAAATCTTTTCCCTCACGCTAGAAATGAAACTCAGCTACAGAACAAACGGCCAGGTTACATGTAAGTATATTGAAGGCTCTCCCCAATCTCATCTTGTTTGAGTTATTATACACATAGACGAAAGAGAAAAGGATGTTTTAAAGTTGCTCTTTTGGCAAAGGATAAACGAATTGAGGGTTGCATCAGCAAGTTTTTAGCTCAGGATGAACAGTCACTAATAATATGACCTGAACAGCGAGCCGTGCACGGGGCACTGTGATTTGAGTCAGCAAGGGACAGCATCCTGTAAAAGCTGGATGTTCTCGAGATGGAATTAAACTGATCCATATGAGCTATTAGGACATATTTTCATCCATGCTGCAATTAATTATATAGCAGTAGAATTGATCCATTTTTAAATGCAGAGATGAGGCAGGTAGGCTATCTGGCCTTGTGTTTTCATATACATCTTTAATGTACTTTATTGATCTAATTTTTTTTGGACAAAATATTTTGATGACTTAACCAGGGTGCTCAGAAAGGAAACCAATACTTGGATCATAATATATATTGCCAGTCTTTTTATAGAATAGATGTACATTGTTACCTTTGATTTTTAGATTACACTTCATTTTGTGTTTATCTCCCTGGGAATTTTTTTAAGATAATTGAAGTGGTCTGAAACACCTTTGAATAAAACCCTTCAAGTGCTTCTCTGGGGATTCTGTTCTTGTCCTTCAAAGGTCATTGCTGCCTTTCTGTATTGCGTCTGACAGCGGTTTTACTGGAGAGCGCAGCTTGGGAGCAGTTTGAGGATATCTGCGTGTTTAACCCTTGAACCCTGCCGAGTTCAGCGAGGGAGCAGCACGCTGCAGAAGCGCCATCCGGTGGTGCAGAAAACTCTGCCTGCTGCCGCATTTTGTTAACGATGCGAGCGGGGCTGCTGCCCCACTGTGTGATTTCTACTAACACAACACTAACAGCAATTTTGTTTTCAAACAAATGAAACCCCTCAGTTCCAGAAGGAAGACGCTGTCAGGATCCACAGCATAAACACCAGGCATTTTACTGCTGGGCCCCACATTTCCCTAACTGAATAAAGGCGGTTAGTCCTTTGCTTTTATTAGGGAAACCAGGCTAAATTTATACAAATCTAACCAAAAGCCCTCCATGCTTCAACAGATTTTTGTCTGACTCTGATGGTGGCTCTAAGCATTTTGAACGGGTAAGAAGCATCAGAAAGGTCGTTTCAAAACGTCAGGGACTATTTTTTTTACTTGTTTCAAAATGTCAGGGACTATTTTTTTCATATGAAGTAATTAAGTTACTAAGCTTAAGCTACGTTCTTCAACATTATGCAGCGAAGAATATGCAGCAACCCATTGAATTTGTGACTACCTAGTTTATCTGACAACTTACATGTTCACACAAGACAAACTTTTCTATGCAATATGCACATGGTCATAAAGAAAAACATTTAATCTAATTAAGAGTTGTATACAAACAAAGCTGAACTAAAACAGCATTGCTTTTCCTCTGTATATGTGCTTACAGAGTTCAATTATCTTGCAGACTGGAATCTTCGTGGATCACTCAGACCTATCTCCATGGTTCTGGGATTTGACTACAGGCTTGTTTCCTCTGGTAAGCTCAACTTAATTATTTTTGAGAGTAAAGCAGCTCTGGCACAATATATCGCCTCATAGCACAGCATGAAAGACACAAGCAAGTAAAGTAGTCTCCACCTTAAAGGGAAGCATTTTGAAAAATAAAATCATACCTTTTGTTGTTGGCTTCATTATTTGTTATCTTCCCTTCTCTATCAGCACCCCATTTCCCCTGTTTTTTTGCCTCTTCCAGTGCCTCTTAGCATTGGCAGGTTTTCTCCTTTTAATTGACTTTTGATTACCTAGAGACCCAGGCCTCATCACTTATGTTTTGGGTTGGCTTTTTTCCCTCCAAAAACATATTGAAAAGCAAGGTACTCAAGACTACTTTGGGGCATTTATTAGCAAAAATCAGACCTTTGACACTGGCAACAGCAGACTTATTTCTTGAGCCAGAAACTTCAGATCATTGGGGTTCATAGGCACAGGAGTCAGTTGTTGTCCATGGAGTCCTCACTGGACATGAGGCTCCTGTGCAGAGCTGTCCCTGCAGGCAGGACCCAGCACACCACACAGACTCAAGCTCTCTTGAAGACCTGTCTACAGACTTGATTCTCACAACGAAGCTCCTACCAAAAAAACAAAACCAAAAACAAATAAACAGAAAACCCAAGAGTATAGATATCCATAGTAATCAAAGGAACTGCTTCCAAAACTGAACATAGATCATTTGCCTCCGTTCTGGCCATGCTAATAACTTACGCTTAACATTCTAATCTAACTTCATGTCACAGTGAAACAATGAAGCTGTTTCAAAGCAGAATGTGCTCACAGCGTACCATCCATTACACATCCTACACAGCTAGAAGGCATATGCACACCATGACCACATTATAAATCAAATTTTCACCATACAGACATAGAATTAGTAGAAATCTGAAGTCAATACCAGGTGGAGGTCATCCCCTTCAAGCCAGTGAGTCCAGCCCCTGTTCTTCTTCTCACCAGTCTGGACACAGACAAGTTTGTCATTTTCCCAGGTAACAAGGCTCTATAGAACAGGGAACAAAAAGGTGTTTCTGCATGTCTGTCTCAGTTCTGCAAGATACTTGCAGAAAATGTGTGTTTTCCTGGATCAGAGAGGACCTGGATATTGCTCCTGAGTTAAAGTGACACTCCTTGTCTGTAACTCAGCTCCTAGTGCTGTCTTGCACCACAAATATTATTATTGAAAAAATTTCAGCTCAAGTATCTGGATTGATCAAGGCATCTTAATTTTTTCACAACCTCATATATTCCCTCTTACCTTGCATTTTCTGTTATCCAAGCCTTTAGTTTCTTCGTCAAACTCTTCTCCAACTTTGAATTCAAGCAAATAATCTCTGAATGTGCTAGTGGTATGGATATAGAATGAATCACCATCTTGTTTGATCACTTTCTGAGGCTTCAGCATTTTTGCTACTTTGCGTGTTGCAAAGTCAATACCTTGGACAGAAGGCAGAAACATCAGAGTTGCATTTATCACCAGCAATTCTGGCAGCCTGGAATTAACCTTTATTACTTCCAGAAGCATTTCTTACAGTAGTTTGACCTTACTGCTGTGCAGCATTTTGTTGTTTTATTGGAACCTTTTGCTTTGTTTAAAGCTGCATGTTACACAGAGTAAGTTGTCCTCTTGTATTTTTACTCTTTAAAACCAGTTTACTCCGTTGTTGCACAATTCCTATGCGACATTTTCAGGATTTTCAGCCAGAAGACTCCTGGAGACAGCTGGCTTCCCCCACAGAGACACCAAAACTTGGTTTCAGACTTTACCCCCACTTAGCAAGAGGTGAATGTCTATTCTCATCCTTTTGTCAGAGGAAAGGCAGTGAAAGAATTAACTCTCTTTAAGGCATTCTATACCTTAAATAGGATGAAATGAAGGGCAGTCCTTAAAATTCAAGAAGACCCCTAAAGGAGAAGGGAGGAAGGACAGAAACAGGTATTTTCACCTACCTAAGGCCACCATATAACCTTCGAAGTTGTCATTGCTGACAAGGTTCCAGGTTCCGCTGAAATCCACAGGCATTGCCAGACAGTAGAAGGAAGATCCAGACAAAAATGCAAATGTAATTTTCTAGCCAGGTCTTTTATAGGGCAGCCTGTGGGTGGGATTACATCACAGGACCTTTCTCTGGAGGGGAAGGGTGCTACTGCTGAGCCAGTGGGTGAGAGGGTATCTGTAGAATAGCTCCCACTGTGTTGGAGGGAAAAGTTCATTGTGTCTGAAATCTTTGTGTGGAGCAAATGTTAATAGCCCAAGAGCCACAATGCAAGCAAAAAAGTGGTTTAAACCATTTTGTCCATCTTGTATACTTTAAAGGAACTGATTCTGTCATTACTAAGATTTCCTGCAAGTTTATTAGATCTGAGCTTTATGATCTGAAATCCAGATATCTGTCAAAAAGGTGATGTACCCCTGTAAAGACAGGCTGTACTTGAACAGACATGGATTGACTGTTAAACTGTGGATTGTATTATATCAATAAATTTTAAAGCAATACCTATGGCACAGAGATAAGAATTATATCATGTTGGTTTATGTCTGCAGTGAGTAGTAAACAGAATTCAAAAAGTAATCTTGTGTATATAGGACATGTAGCTCCTGCCTTGGGTTTCTGTTCTTGACACATAAAGGAGAGCTGATACAGGAGCAGTTCCCACTGATGCTTTATTAGATGCTACACATGTGGCAGAACACACAGGCAGCAGAGCACATGACGCAGCAGGTAAGCTTGTGTTGGACTTCACCTTCAGCAAAGTGAGAGAAGTCCCTGATGACCCAGCAATGTGTTTTGAAAAGTGAATAAAAAATGCTTGACTTTGAAGAGAAAGGACTCAGGGAATCTGAAGTGAGGAAATTAGGGATTTAGAGGTGAGGAAACACACCTATACCTACTACATTTATTTATTTACTGACTTGTGTTAGGCTGCATAAGAAGGATAATATTTTGCAAAGAAGTTTCCCCATAGTTTAGCTCCATTTTTGGAGCTGGCAGTTTGATCCATATGACTCACAGAATCATGTGAGTAGGAACTCAGGACATCAAAGTTTCTTTCCTGGATGCAGCTGGATATTGTTCTCTAACCTACACTAAAACAAGAATGGCACTGAGAAATGAAAATTACTGTTTCCTCTCCACTCAGATAGTAACATTTCACCCACAATTTGGTGTTCTGAGGTTATGGTAGTAAAGCACTGTTGCAATACTACTGACTCTTGCGAGCAAAGAGAAGTCAGTACTTGGTAAATCCTGTGCCAAAGTCGGGATATAACATTTTAATTTAAATTATGCAGATAGTCTGGCATGTGGCTCTTCTTTCTGTAAATCAGTACTCAAACCTCACACAAAGACCTCTGAAGAATTGTTGATTCATGAGAAGTGGCTAGCAAACCTTGGCATTCTTAGTAAGGCACATAATACAAACAAAAATGAGACAGCAGCAAATAAAAGGAGGTAGAATTCTATCACCACAACAGTCTCAGTGCCTCTCTAGCTTAGGTTCACATAATATAGACAATAAACTTCTAGAAAAGAAAAATATTTCACTTATGATCAGTATTGATATACTACCACTTTCTCTCTAGTAACAGAAAACAATTCTGGCTATATATAATTATATTCTACTTACAGCTCAAAAGTAAAATAAGCATTATTTTTTGAAAGAAATGTATTATTTGTAATAAAGGGACAAGTGTCTGAAAATCAGTGCAATTACAGTATTATTAATTTCTATCTATTAAATCAATGGCTCTAAACCAGTTCCTGAGGTAGGTCTGTCCTTCCATCAGAAACAATACTGAGCTTAACATTAAAGCTCTGGAAACATGAATGGAAAAGTAAAGTACAAGACATTTCTGGAAGCACACTGCATGACAGCAAACAAGCAGCTGCGTATCTCAAAGGCAAGCAGCTCAAAGCATGCTATACCTTGCACCGCTTCAGCCAGGAGGAAATTCTTCCCTTCTAGGATAGAGCTAAATAATTTTTTTGAGGTAAACCACATGTTGACAAAAAAAAAAAATACATAGATTCACTCTAAGTAAATGGTACATCTTGAAATCAGATAACTTTGTTAAGACACTGTAAGTTATTTAAAATATTTGTGTTACTGTTTTATAAATAGCAGAGCAGTTTGAGTTAAAACTAATGAGAACATTTTCATTTGTTTTGCTTGTACATTTGCAATTTTCACGTACCGATTTGAATTCTAATACTCACTTCAGTGCACTGGGACAAAACATTAAAATGTGAAAAATCTTATTACTGGACTTGAAAAAGTTTATGCAGGTCCTATCACTGAGTCCAGCAAACATCATTACTAACTATAGGTGTACAGAATTAGGCCACTATTTACCTAAGAAAAAACCCCAAGCAGCCCCTAGAAAACACACTTTCCTGTAGTGAAATGTGTTTTTTTTTCACAGCAGACAGTAAGTCAGTTGCTCAGTGCCTGTGAGCTCTTAGGGTCACTGGCATGTTTCTGGAAGGGAGCCAGGACCACCCCCGCATTCCTGTCCTCGCTCTCGGGACTGTACAGCCTGTTCTTCTCGATGTACGCCCGCACCACGTCAGGCACCAGGTAACGAATGCTCTGGCCCCTCCGCAGGGCTCTCCGGATCTTGGTGGAGGAAATATCATTTGTGATCCATTCTTCCACAAGGTGAATGTTATTCTTGTGTCTCCACAAAATATCCGATTCGTAGATGAATTTCTGAACGTTGTTTCCAGCCCTACTGATACACACAAGGCCGTGTTTTTCCACAATTTCAGTGATGTCCTCCAACTTCCACAGATTGGGGACTCCAAAAGATTCCAGCATGTCACTTCCACAAAGCAGTTTAACCTGTGGGACACCTTGAAGAGAAAATTAAATGAGAAATAGGCCTTCGTTTGGGGCTTGAAACAAGGATCAATAACCATCTAATTTGCAAACAGACTTAACTTTTTACAACTGGACTCTGATTTTTCTTTTTAACGGGCTCATGACTGTTTTGTTCCTGTTTTCTCTTCCGTCCCAGCTTTGTTATGGGCACAGTGTGCTGCAGACTATTAGTGACATCAGCAGATAAAAGCTTTTGATGATGATACCTGCAAAACAGATGTATTTTAGGTATTTTAAAGATGTAGGAAAAAATTGGGATAGTATGGCCTACCAAAGAACCTCTCTCTGTAATTATCCCAACTTGTTAGAGTTAACACCATCCTTAATCCTTCTATAGGTTCATGAGACTTTTTAGACTTTGGCTGAAGAATACCTTAAAACCTTGAGTGTTTCCAGCCACTCGCTCTGGCAGCTTTCCCAATCATCAACTTCCACCCAATCTGAGTTTTTTGTAGCCAGTTTTGCCATAGTCACTCGGTGATTCGCACTGATCAGACCTTTCTTCTTATATGCATCACCCACTGGTGAAATGATGCCTTTGATTACTTTGTATTTTCCTGTGGGAAAAAACATATCACACAAGAACATGAGAAGTGGTTGAGCAGATGTTACTTCCCCTGTATTGTATTTAACCTGTGACATAACTGTTATGCAGTGCAATGGCAGCTGATAGCCAGCCCTGTGGAAAAATACAGGACACTCCTGCACTGTCAGGGCAGCACAATGGAGCACTTTGTAAGATGTATTAGAAAGATATATTTCTATTAACTATAAACTCTGTGCTTTAGCTCATTAAAATCAGTAATAAGCAACACATAAATGAATTCTCTCATAATGGCCTACATGGTTTTGTATAAGACATAAACACCTATTAGCTTCAATATCTAATTAGCATTTGCTAAATATCTGTCACAGTCACAAAGCTATTCCGAATGATATAAATTACCATCCTACCTGTTTCGTGCAAGTAGTCTTTAGCCAGCTCAAACAGCCTCAGGTGCATGTTGGTGATGGGATTGAAGGACCCACAGGCCAGCAGCACCACTTCAGTCTTCCTGTCGGGATCTTCCATTGCCATTGCTCACAGCCACGGAGCCGAGAGGACAGTGTTGGTGCCAGGTACCAGCCACTACAAGAAATGGGATAAGAGAGAGATATTGTTACTTACTTGTGCTGCCAATAAGCAGAAGATAAAATTTCAAGATCAAATTGAATGCTGTGACCATTCTTAGTGTTGCTACTCTAAACTGCAGTGACCCTTTCCACCATAATCTATAAAACCGAGGTTGTGTCACATATTAGGTTGTATTAAATTCTGGAGAACAGCATCAACATTTCTTCATTTGGGATTTACATTTTCTGAAATAGAAAATGTAAAGGGGGTAATTTATATAATTCAGCTGATATGTGGGAAGGGAGTGATATGGACTAAAGACGAGAAAAGTCAGTCTCCTTTGTGTTGCAGCGTTAGGTGTACCCATGGAAAAGGTGAGAGAATAGTAACTTAGAGAAGTTTAGTAAAAGCTGCAATTAAATACTGAGGGTTATCCCCTTTTCTAAAATACCACAGTTCTGTTCCAATTCTGAGCTTCAGTTTCAGAAAACTACTTAAGAATTGCTGAAAATAAGGAAGTTTCACGATTTATCATTTAACTTCCCCTTGCACCTTACACACATTTTTGTTTCTGTATTCTTTCCTGAGAATATTCTAGCTTGCCAAGATGTTTTCCCACATCTGGCCTAACAAAGGAGAGCTGCAATGGGCTGTTGCTGTTTGCGAGATGTCTGAGACACCCTGAGGAGCACAGAATTATCTGCCATTGTTTCTACAGCAACATCACCACCTGGAGAAATCTCACGAGGTGACCCTCACACTGTGTCTCCCTTCCAGAGAGGCTGAGTGATGTTCACAGCAGCCACAGCGCTGAGACACCATCACAGCCAAACCTTGCAACAGTGACTGTGTCCTAACATCAAACAGCCCGCGGATAAAAGGAACTCTTGCAAGGGTTCATATTTTCTAAGTGCTAGTACTTTTTTGTGCTTTCACTAGTTTCACAAACTTTTAAAATATTCTTCATTACTGCAGAGTAGCTCAGCAGTGGAACAGCTGGTGGTACTTGAAATGCAGCCTTCACAGGGGCAGGGCCAGGAGAGTTACTATGGGAACAGGGAGGAGATGAATGAGACTGCCTTTGCAATGCACAAATCCTACTTTCAACAAAGCGACACATGCTGCAAAACTGAAAAAGGTTGATTTTTTCCTTGAGAAAAAAAGTGCAAAAAACATAGAAAAATGTAAGATGGAAATATAGAGTGCCTTTTTGGGAGTCAGTCAAGTGTCCCGTTTCATGCTCCTTATTTTACAGTTTATAGAAACAGGCAATCATTGCCTTATAAACTCACACTGTAAGACATCAAAATATGCCTATTGCAGGTCTTAGGATGGCTCTGGAGCCCGGCCTGCCAATCACCTTCCGGGGATAGGCAGGTAATGGCGCTTTGCTCAATCTCATTTATGGTTCAGAGACAAATACCTGTCAAATGTTTATATATCGGTATATATATATAGAACATAAGCACGACGTAGGCGCTGCTGGACGCTTCACTAACACCCTCCCGCAGCTCT